CATCTCCAGGGAATTTATTTCAGATTCACATTCAGGTGCCCACCCCACACCTAACCAACTCCATACTCTTTGTGCTAACCAGTCCTTTTGCTGGTTTGGAGGCACAGAGGAATTTGAGGAGCACTAACTTTGACTGTCTGAACTTAGAGTGGTTTCTCTGGTGAACAAAGCAGCAGATTGGATTATTCAAAGTAATTAAAAATGTGTTTAGAGTTTAGGGGCAGGTACACAATTCACAGTTCCGAGTTCGAGTTGGCTGGGGGAAATGTGAATTTCAAATGTTCATGAGAGTTAATCCCATCCCCGAGTTCCTGCATTGCTGCCCTAACTAGAGATTCTGGGCTCTATATGGAGTGGGAAACTGTATCTATCATCAAGTAAGATAAATTCTTTTACAGGAATCCTGCTATTCCATTGGCAAATAGTCTGACCAGGATTAAGCTGTTTCGGGACAAGTTGGTGCACAGGAACCTAAATTTATCAAAAACATGCATGAAAGAAAGCTTGACCTTATTTTATTCCCAAAGTATGTTTATGCACCACACCAAAGTTCCTGTCCCAGACTCCTACAGGGCAGCCAGTGATTCAGGATAAGGTTTCCTGACACAGTATGGATTAGTTTCCAAACCATTATTTTTATAAGTGTCTGTGTTGCAAAGCAGATGGCAACTGGTAGGCTGCAAAGGGCAAAAATAAAGTGCTATCCTTTTGCTTATCCAGAGCTTCTAAGGCAGTGCTCACAAAAGTAGCTAGTCTGTCACTGGGTATTTTTTTTAAAACACTAATCAACCTGCCTACCAGCATCAGAAATGGAAACCAAGGTACTAAATTCATTCTGTCCAGACACAACAGATATGTGTGTTCTGGCTAGCAATATCTTTCTTACTGACCTTATCTTCCCTTAGTCTGTCCACTTCTGACCTCCCTTAGATTCTGCCAGCCACTCACCAATAATAACTGGAAGATGCTCCAATTTTATCAACACCAGAAATAGCAATATGCTTCCTCATGAGACTTCATCACTGGCTTGACCCTGTGGAGTTCCTGGGCAAGCCAACAGGTTCTTCCACCAAGCATTCTTATGCTAAAACATAAGCACTCTTATGCTAAAACATATAAAAAATGCCTAGCCTACCCCCTTCTCATTCGTTAACATTTTCCCAAATCAAAGAGTTTGAGGTATACTCTTTTTTTCCCAGACAAGGTTTCTCTGTGTAACAGCCCTATCTGTCCTGGAACTCTCTCTTGTAGACCAGGCTGTCGTTAAACTCACAGAGATCTGCCTGCCTCTGCCTCCTGAGTGCTGGGATTAAAGAAGTGTACCACCGCTGGGCTAAGGTACACTCATCATTCATTCCAAAGTGGGAATTCATTTCCCTCTTTTGTATATTGCGACCCATTTTAGTTGTTGAATCAACCCTTGATTTCTTTTTTTTTTAAGATTTTATTTATTTATTATGTCTTCTGCCTGCACGCCAGCAGAGGGCACCAGAGCTCATTCAAGGTGGTTGTGAGCCACCATGTGGTTGCTGGGAATTGAACTCAGGACCTACTAGAAGAACAGTCAGTGCTCTTAAATGCTGAGCCATCTCTCCAGCCCCCAACCCTTGATTTCAATGTACTATGTTCATCATGCTAATCCTGACGCTGTACCTCTTTAACTTTCATCATATACCTAAGCAGCAGAGACGTTTTATAATCTTAGTTCCTGGTATAGAATCCCCACTGTTCCATTATGCTTGTACTTTTGTTTGTTTTATTTTTACGTAGGATGTCAACATGCATCCCTGCCTGCCCTCAAACCCACAGTCACCTTTTTGCCTAATACTCCCAAGTGACAGGATTAGAGGTTTAAACACTACATGCTCGGCCAATACTTTTGACAACACAAAGCCATTCGGTTTGTTAAAATCAAATATAAGACCTCCAACTGTAAAACAACTAGACAAGAAGGAAGAAAATGGCATGACATTGTGTATAAAGATATTTAGATTTGAGCCCCAAAGTAACAAAAGTAACTGTGGTGATAATTTGTTTATGATCTAACAAATAAATTTTGCCTGAAGATCAGAGTGCAAAGCTAGCCACACTACTTAGCCATAGTGGCCAGGCAGTTGTGGTACTCACCTTTAATCCCAGCACTCAGAAAACAGAGGATCTCTATTAATTCAAGGTCACCCTGAACTACACGAGATTGATCCAGTCTAAAAGAAAAACAGAACCCACAAAAATGGTGATCTCAGCACTTGGGATCCCACACCTTTAATCCCAGCACTAGGGAGGAATATAAGGCGGGAGGAGACAGGAGCTCAGTACAATCTAAGGTCTGGTGGAGACAGATGCAGTCTGGATATGCAGTCTGAGGACAGGATCACCCCTTTGATCTGAGCATTGATAGAGGTGAGAACTCTCTAGTGGCTGGCACTTTGCTTCTCTGATCTTCAGCTTTAACCCCAATATCTGTCTTTGGATTTTTATTATTAAGACCATGCTAGTACCTGGTACTTGTTACATGGAGGAAGACCTAGTTCCCAGTTCTAGTAACCTGAGCCCATAGCTCAAACTACAGACACATATTTCCTGATATTTGCTTCATTTTTTTCTCTAATCAGTAAGACTGCTAAGGGCAAGGCGGAGATAGACTGAGAAAGTCTTTCCTCTGCTTTAATAAAATAGTAAATAATATTTTTGTTACTATGAGGGAGCATTCTGACCCAAGTCAGCAGGAACACTACTTGGTAATTTGCCTTCCAGTAACACTTTCAAGTTCACATGTGAGCTCTGTTCCAGGCTGTGTTCAAATGTCTGGCATTGTGGCATAAAGTTGTGGTCTAGAAATGTCTTAGGCTACATTAATAGCTATGCTGATACACATGTAAGACATAGACTGGATAGGAATGTTAACTCAACTCTCCAAGGGTGTTCCTCTGTCCATGCTTTTTCCTGGAAATTGTTAACAATTTACATTCTGGAAAACATCCCACAAAATCTGATAAAAGGACTCTATTAGCGAAGCTCATCAGTCTGTGTTTTAACAAGTCCCCCAGATAAATGCTCAGGATGCTCAGAGAAATTTAAGAAGCAGTAACTTTGATTACTTCCTACACTGTAGTTCTCTCGTTGATTAAGCAGCAGGTTGGACCGCTCAGAATCATAAAGTTTGCTTAAGGTTTTGATGAGTACAGGATTTTCACGCTGTCAACTGACTTGGCTTACTAAATAAACAACAGCACAGAAGAATTTCAAATGCTCAGAGTGCTGCAAATTCTCTCACCAGCAACAAACCACTTTGGGCCTTAAGTAGTACTAACCTCCTCCACTCGCCAGTCCCGCCAAGCAGATGCACGGGGAGCTAAAGCACCTAGGGAAAAAAATGCCTGGAGTCAAGTTTTGCTTTATTTTCCGTCCAAACGATTTGAAAGCGGTCCAAGAAAGCAATCTGCCAATCCTTCCCCTAAGGCAGTTTCCAGGTCCCTAACTCTTTGTGCTGTAATTGCTCACATTCAAAAGTAAATGACAACTTCAGGATGTAAAGTGCATAAATAAAGCCTAATTTTTCCCCCTGCAAACAGCCGATAGGGAAGGCACAGAATGCACCAGAGACAGCTTTTGATAACTTGTACCACAAAACAACCATCCCACCAGAGGCCGAATAAATATGAAACCAAGGGCCCAGATCATTTCATAGAAACGTGACATAGGTGTGTGAGTCCGGGCCAGCAACACTTTCTTCCCGAGATCTTTGCTTCCCTTTATCTTTCAGCGTCCATCCTTTCATCCCGCTGGTCGCTAACCGTAAACAATCTAAACAAACAAAAAACACCGAGATCAGCACACCGGAAACAGCGATACACCCGGTGTGGCGTCATCAAAAGTCGCCGCGAGTTCGTTCAGTCTCTTATCGCCCCCCCCACACTTCTGTTCCCCCCTTGTTTCGTTTCTTATGATTGTAGGTTTCTAGCCTTGAACCAAAAGGACGCGCCGCGACATCCCGCCTTGTCCTCTTCCCTGACGCCGACCGGCACAGAACTGCGGCCTCCGGGAGCAGCGGCAGCGGCAGAGGCAGCGGCAGCGGCCGGGGTTCCAGAGTCCTTTGCGAAGGTCACAGGCCCTGAGAAACTCACGGCATCCTTCCGGTGCCACGCAGGACACCATCCGGCCGAGCGATCTGCCGGCATCCCCAGCCTGGTCCAATCTCCAGCTAGGGTTTGACTCTCAAAGGCGTTGGCGGGCCAGCTCATTGTTGCAGCTGGGCATCTTTAATGCTGAAGCGTATAAAATGACTAGTCTGCCCCTTTCTCATTTGTTGTGGTTGATTCACAAAGTTATCAATCATTCTGAAGTTGAAATTCATTTTCTTGTGGGATAGTTTATCGTGCCTCATTTAAACTGCTGGACTAATCTGTCTCTCAGTGTGCCATTTCTGAGATGTTCACCTTGACCCTACAACTCTGCCCTCTCGTTCCCATCTTTGTCATTCGTGTGTGATTTCAACTGCATGCCTTAAGTGCAGGGGCTATTTATTGTGTTTGTGGGCAAGTGTGCCAGGGCGCGCTCATGTGGATGTCAGAAGACACTTCAGGAATTGATTCTTGGCTACTAACTTGTGGGAATTTGGGATTGAACCAAAGTCTTCAGGCTCTCGCCCGCTGAGCCATCTCGCTGGCCCATAGGGGTTTCCTTGAACAGCAGTTTCTGGATTGGAATCTTCACTCACCCACCATTAACCATGGTGTCTTGGGCAAATTAAGGTGTTCAATTGCCTTGTTTTTCTGTAGAATGAATATACTAGCAGTACCTACTGTTAGTGTGCTAGTGCAAAGAGAAACACTTGGTAGCACAAAGTTAAGCAGTAGTATATCAAAGTAGATATAATTTTTTAAAATTATTTTGTGTGTGTAGATCTCTTGCTTGCATTTTTGTCTATGTACCACGCGAGTGTCTTGGCCACAGAGGACAGAAGAGCATGCTGAATCTCCTGAACTAAAGTTATAGAGGGTTGTGAGCCAGCTTGTGGATATTGGGAATCCAACTCGGGTCCTCTGGAAGAACAGGCAGCACTCTTAAGCACTAAGACATCTTTCCAGACCCATAATTTAAAAAACAAATGCTCATTTTATTTTCTGTGTATGTATGCTTGCATGTATGCATGTGTGCCACATATGTGCCTAGTGACCACAGAGACCAGAAAAGGACAGTAAAGATGGTTGTGAGCCACCATGTGGGTGCTGTGAACCAAACATGGGCCCTCTGCAAGAGCAACAAGAACTCTTAACCGATGAGCCATCTCTCTAGAACCAGGCAATTATAATTCTTGAAACTGATGGAATTACAGTCTTACTTAACTCCTGTTGCCCAGGAATACTAAGGATAATAATGGCTATTGGAGGATTTATAGAGCAGACAGCATGGCAGTGCAAAAGCGATTATTGCTTAAGCCGCACAATAACACTTTGGTTATAGTTTAAATATGCTGTCCATTGCTCTCCTTTTGAACTTGTTTTGTGGGGATTTTGTCTGTTTCTTTTTTTCCCTGTTGGAAATTGATTCCATGACTTCAGGAATCGTAGGCTAATGTTCTCCCACTAAGTTACATTGCCATCTAATCTTCTTGATTTTTGAAACAGCAGGCTTGAAAATTCATTTCAGTCTGCTAGCAGCAAAGTGAATGTCCTGCCAATTGTGACTAATGAAGAATGATTGGGCCTATCCTTTAGTACAAATAAACTCAGGTGTGGCTGGAGAAATGGATCAGTAAGACAGTTTACTGCAAGAAAGCATGGGGATCTGAGTTCAAATCCCCAGCTTTCATGTAAAAACCCAGTAAATCTGTAACCATGACATCCAGATTCGGTGAGAGACCACCCTGTCTTAAGGTAATAAGGTGGAACATGTGGGGGGTGCACACACTTAATAAATGTCATCAATAAAAATGGCCGTAAAGTCTTTTAACTCCCCCCCACACACACACACACATACACGGAGAGATGAATTGTATCAGTATACATACAGGTCAAGCACCTAGTTTCTCTTTTGAACACAAGGATAGCCACTAATAAAGAACCATCTATCTCCTGAAAGCTGGTCAACTAGGGTAGAAGTAAAATAACAATGTTCACCAACAGCTCACCTACCAACTTCCTTGAGGCCATGCAGATCTCAATACTGCCTATTTTGCCTCCGGCTATTGGGATAAAAGTACAAGATCCTCGCCTCACTTTACTTTTGTGGACCATATAGTAAGACCATGATGCTTGTATAGCAGTGTAATAAACTCTCCTGTCTCCAGCCAATGTGGTAGAAATTTCTATATATCAGTCTGTAGTTTCATATATTGTTGGCTCATCCCTGAAAACGCAGGGAGTTCTGTTTTTCCAGGATTAAAACAAAAAGATTTGATGAATTTTGCCAGAGTTCCCAGTTCCCAGGATTTTCTTATCCTTCCACTCACGCTCATTCCCAATTCCCTCAGACACTCCAAAGTGCTTCTTAGGGAAGGATTGGTAATTATGGCATGTGAAGGGAGAAGATAAATCCCCATGTATTGAAGGTGACTGAGATATACTACCTGGTCCCCATCCTTGTAGTAATTTTATAGTTCCTGCTCTTCACCCTATTTTGACATTTCAGGGCCTATTTGCCTACACACCCAGGAAAGTGAGTTTGAATTACAGGTAAATATGGCAACATCCAACAATATCGCACATATCAAGCTTCAAGACTCTGCGTTAAAGTGGCTGATTTTAGGTAGGTAAGGAACAGGAATAGCATGAGAGGCCTTTTCACACAGCTTTCTCCTTGTTTCTAGCTATTGTCAAACTGGAAAGGTCAGTTCGGCAGAAGTCTAGTTACAGAATCCAAGAAAAGGGATGGGGAAATCCTGTTTCAAATGCAAAGTGTTGGCAGCAGGAAGACATGCAGAGGAAGATGTCTCACTAGCCAGTGGAAACACAGAAAGTGAGGAGACTGGTGAGTGCTCTGTTCACCTTCCATCCCAAAACCCTACTCCAGATTACAGCTCCCTTTAATTTCCCTAACCAACCCAGTTATTTTCCTTCTGGACAACTTGCCATTATCACAGAGTTCTGTACCAGGTGCCGCTGCTTAGAAAAATGGGTAAGTGAGCAGAGAAGCTGTCCCTAAATGGTATGTTGGAAAAGGAGATGCACTAAAGGGTCTCTACTTTTAATCATGACCTACCTTTTGAAACAAACCCATATATAATGCATGTTATATTCATGTTCTGTAGTATGTTGTAGGTATGATTCTTAAGAACTGTCCCTGTGTTGTAATATGTGTGACCATTTTACATTGTAGGGAACATATGCTGCTGATGGCCAGTTTAGGTTCTTTTTAAAGTATGAGGGCCCCACTCCAACAGCTAAGTAGCTGATAACTCCAATTGCTCCTTTCTCTGGGAAATTTCATTCCATAGAGGAGTTTCTCTTCCCCTTCCTGTAAGAAGATCTAATGTACTGATTAAAAACCATTTGCCCCTGGGCATTGGTGTCAAACAGCAATCAGGAGGCAGAGGCAGGCAGATATCTGTGAGTTTGAGGCCAGCCTGGTATACAACCAAAAAAAAAAAAAAACAGTCGCCAGTAGTTTTGTTTCAGTGCTAATTTAACAAATCAATTATTATTCATAAGACATACCAACCCTCATTATGAACATCAGTGACAATATTATAAATGTGTATGCATATTGGGTAGGACTAATGCTAAGACTGAAAATACGGGATAAAATTATCAGATTTTTAAAATATACATTTACAACCATGAAAATTTCATGATATCTGACTTCTTATTCACCTTTTCCCCAACATGTATATTACATGGACTTTGTATAGTTACCCACATCAATCTCAACTAATCAAAAACCAATTTTGCCCTATAATAAAAGACCTAAGACAAGAATTTTCATTGGGATTATCCTCCCTAATAACTCATCTATATAAAGGACCCAGCCTTAGCTGAAAACCCATTTCTGAGTATATTTGGAAATATTCCTTTTGGTATTACCTCTCTTAATTAGTTTGTTTATTTATTTACATTTTTATTATACTGTAACTTATTTTAATTAATTTAAATGTTTTGTTGTTCATAAAAATATACTCATTCTCATGCCCTCCAAAAATTAAATTGTGAAAAGATTTCTTTTAGTTTTGGTAACTGAAATAAACAACTTTCATAAGAAGAAAATACAGTCAAATTAAAAAACTGTACTTATTTGGAATGTTGGGATTTTTGCAAGCCTTCCTGTAGTAGTTCTAATAGTTTTCTCCTTTATGAAAGATATATGGTTTGATCATAATAAAACCATGTGTTTTAACTGTTTTCTGTTACTTTCCAGTAAGAGCCAAACACTTGTTTCCCATCACTAACTATCCTAATTGCTCAAGTTTCCTGACAAGCTTTTTTTTTTTCTGGCTAAGGCTGATTTCTAAATGTAAATGGAACACCATTCAAGATGGTGTACTAACCATTTTGTTATTTCCCAAGGCTCATGGATGGGAATAAGAAACTTATTATCTTATTTTACAAAATAGAGGTGCTGGAAACAATTATATTCACTTGTTCCTGTAGATGATGGCATAGCAAGTGCTGACCAATCAGAAGAGAACGTCAAGAAAGGGCCAGCACGGTCCATGCTAAATATGTATAAAATGCTATACAATTTTCAGAAACTGTTCTTGTAGGAGGTAACTAGTGATATCACAGTTTCTCTGAGTTCTGGTGGTGCTTTGCCTGGTGACAAAAGGCAAACACAACAGAGTGTTATTATCATAATTTCAGTTTTAACTATTAGTAAATATGTACTTGGTCATAGTATTTTATTCATTTTAATCTAGTACTTTTTAGGTCAGTGGTTTTCAGTTAGGCATCCATAGCAAATTTAGGATATTTGA